AAGATCCCTGAATGGAATGCTGCTATCCAAGAAGGAATTATAGCACTTGAGAAAAATGAGACATGGGAGTTATCTGATTTACCTTCAGGGAAGACTCTTGTAGGATGCAAGTGGATTTTCACCATTAAGTACAATCCTGATGGTAGTGTAAGCCGCTACAAAACTCGACTTGTCGCTAAAGAGTTTACTCAATCTTATGGAATCGACTATCAAAAGACATTTGCTCCTATAGCTAAGCACAACACAATTCGGGTATTATTCTCTTTAGTATATAATCTTGATTGACCTCTCTTCCAACTTGATGTGAAAAATGTTTTCTTTAATGGTGATCTAGAGGAAGAAGTGTATATGGAAGTCCCACTTGACTCAAGATGAATCCTCAAAAGGTATGCAAACTAAAAAAGGCACTGTATGGTCTCAAACAGTCTCCAAGAGCGTGGTTTGAAAGATTCATCAGGGCATTGAAACATATGGAATATGAATAGTGTCAATCCGATCACACTCTGTTTGTCAAGCATTGTATCACAGGAAAGAGAGCTATACTAATTGTTTATGTGGATGATATTATCCTAATAAGTGATCATAGTAAAGAGATTCAGAAATTGAAAGACTTTTTAGGTCGAGAATTTAAAATCAAAGACCTTAGAATACTCAAATATTTCCTTGAAATGGAATTTGCCAGATCCAAAAAAGGAATTTCTATATCTCAGCATAAGTACATCTTCGATCTCCTAAATGAGACAGGTATGCTTGGTTGTAAACCTGCAGAGACTCCTATGGAAATAAATGCTAAACTTGGTTTCAAAAGTGACAGTAAACCTGTTGATAAAGAGAGGTATTAAAGGCTTGTAAGCAAACTTATCTACTTGGCTTACACAAGACCTGACATCTGTTTTGCTGTTAGTACTGTGAGTCAGTTCATGTGTCAACCCATTGATGAACACATGAGTGTTGTCTATCGTATTCTGAGATACGTAAAGATGACACTTGGACAGGGATTATTCTTTCAAAAGACTATGGTCAAAGATATTGAAATCTATACTGATACCGATTGGGCTGGATCTGTGATAGATAGGAGATCCACATCTGGTTATTGCTCATATATTTGGGGTAATTTAGTCACTTGGCGTAGCAAGAAATAATTTATTGTATCAAAAAGCAGCGCTGAAGCTAAATTACAATCACTTGCACATGGAATATGTGAAGGAGTATGGCTTAAAAAGATTTTAGTTGAACTAAGATTTTCTGCTCCCACTGCAATGAGGATTTGGTGTGACAATCAATCAAGTATTAGTATGGCCAAGAATCCTGTGCACTATGACAGAACTAAATACGTTGAGATTGATCGTCACTTCATCACAGAGAAAATTGAAGGTCAGGATGTGTCACTCCTATACATTCCGACAAATCAACAAACAGCAGACACACTCACTAAAGTACTACCAAAAAGGGAGTTCAATAATCTTGTATCCAATCTAGAGTTACTTAACATTTATGTAACCTGGATTGAGGGGGAGTGTATAATGTACATATTTAGGAAATGTGTATATATACATGCATACTTATACTAGGGGCAACTTAATCTTTTCTCACGTTATTAGGACAACTGATATTGTTAGGACAGCTGAGTATTTCTCTCCATCATTTTTAGCTATTTTGTTAGCAGTTTTTTAATGGTTTTTGTCTTGGCCGATGACCTATATAATATTACATTTGTGCCAATGTAATAACAAGGAAAAATCATAGGAATTCTCCTCTTCTCACAAACTTTCTTTCTTTATTTTCTTCAATATATACATTCTACATTTATATTTATTCATTTCTTCCATAGTTAGAGACTTTAAAACTATCTCTTATATCATGCATAAAATGATAAGTGTTAGAATCTCAACATGTTGAGCTTTTCGATCATAAAGTCAAGGTTGACCTATAAGAATATGCGTAAATATTATAGGGACTGCATTGCGTAAGATTTTTACTATAAGTATCATGACAAACAAAAACAAGAGTTTGTTGACTTACCAAAATGCTCGAATAAGATTTATTTGTCCAATTAAGGATTTAGGAATAAAAAACCTGAACATCACATTTAGGTTAAACATTACATTTAATAAGTCTTAAAAATCACACTTAAAGATTTGATTGCATCACATGATAACGCAAAATCCAGGATAAAAAATGTAATCTGAACGTATATATACACAATTGGCATAAAAATTTAATCTCTAAACAAACTCTCCCTATTTAACCCACAATAAATATGTGATTGGAATTAAAATAATAAGAAAAATGAATTGATTAAAATGTTATAAGAAATATCTTGATAGTTGAAATTAACTCAAGAAAAAAAATTGATAAAAATATCACAAGTTACTTTGATTAGTAGATATCAATTTTATATGCAACAAGAAGGTTGAAGACACCTCACAAGCAGAAAAGTTTTTTTAATTTCTGATTGTTGAATTGAATTACACTCACAATAAAGCATATTCATAGGCAAAATTAAGAAGAGTTCAAATAGATAGTACTACTCTAAAGTAGGATCTTAGATAGCTACTCCTAGTTGATAAACTCATAATTGACACATGATTAAAATACATTAAAGGACTTTTCTTTCTTCAACTTGCCGTCCATGCTTTGACCTTTATCTTTGAAGTTGAGTACTTGTCAATGACATTTATTTTGAGGAGAATATCGGCCTTAAAGATAACATAAAGTTCAGCCAAGTTGTTGAAGGAGAAAACTCTTCTTTCTTAAGAAATTTTAAGGGGAGAATTGAGCAAGAGGTTGGGATAAATTCCTTTGATTCTCCACATGTTAAATATGTTGTAACACGTGTTTAATGTCTTTGGATGAGAAGAGCTCGGTTAGGAAGGCTTGAAGAGATGTGATCGGCCTTCCTATGCTTGATTCCCAAGAGTCCATGATTTTATGGACTCTTTTTGCTGCAGATTGTGATTATATGAAGGAGAAATATTCCATGTGCAGGAGAAAATGTCTCTCGGGTGAGAGAAAATCTCCCATGAAAGAAGTTAGCCATGTGTCCCCAAATTGTAGGACATTGCATGGCCGATTCTCCCTTTGGTCGAATGGGCTTGGATTTCCTCCTTTTTGGGCTTCCAAGTTCAGTCCAAGACTGACTTCCTCATGGATCCATCTCTTAACACAAAGGTGAAAGTCTTTCTTAAAGTTTATGGAGCCATGATCTTGTGCTTGGTCCATGTGTCATTAAGATCTCCTTCCATGTTGCCCAAATCCATCATGTGTTGCGTCCAAGCCTTGTTTGTCTCCATGTGGGTGTTGTTCATGGCCCAAAACACCTTGGTCTCCACTTGGGCTGTCCATGCCACCTTGATCTCCTTTTGGACAGCCCATGCCTCCTTGATTTCCCTTTGGACAGCCCAAGTCATGACCTTCTAAACTTGAATGGTCCATGCCATGACATTCATCCTTCATGAGGCCAAAACCGTGGCCTCTTAAGCTCATGACGCCGTGAACTCCCTCTTGGGTTATGTCTTGCTCTCCTTTAATGTGGTCAAACCTTTTAAACTCATGTAACCATAATTTCCTTTGTGGCAGTGAGGTCTTAAGCTTATGTAGTCATGATTCCATTTGTGGCTATGAGCTTTCAAACTCATGTGATCTCTCATGTGAGCTTAAATTGTGTCCTGGTTGTAAGTTGTGCCACCTGGATTTGTATCACACAATTAGAAAAATAAAAAACTCTTAAAAAATTATGAATAATTGAAGCTCTATTAGTAAAATTACAAAACTATTTATAATAATTTCTAAATAAATTTTCCTAAATAGAATTAAATTAAGAAATAGTAGATTATTAGAATTAGGAACATTAATCCTAATACAAATAAAAAAATACTAATAAAAATAAAAATCTTAAATTACTAAAACTATAATAGTAATTCTTAATAATATAAACTCCTAAATAGTCTAGTAGTTTTAGATTTGATAAGTTATAATTTCTAAACTATTTAGAAAATCTAACACTAATACATGTTGCATCAATTGTTTTCCTCCTTTAATGACTGTATTAAAAAAAATATCTTATCCCCTGTGGTTGTAATTCTTTTTTCCCTCTCTCTTATAGTAATACTTCCTTTCTATATAAAAAATATTAAGAATCTGCTTCAGGCTCGCAGATCCATGATCATTATCTTCAGATGTACGTGTTATGTGTTATAATATGTTCAAGTTCCATTATCCTTCCTCTTCTTTGTTGTAATGTGGTTTTTGGACTTCGAGCTAGGCTCTTTGATACTGAAAAGACTTTGTTTCCTCCTCCCTACATTGCTTTTCAGGAACAAGGAGCTGAAAATGTTATGGGGAGGGAAAAGTTTTGTTGGGTTGTGGATCTTATGGTTAAAAGGGGGAATGCTAGAGTTTTCGAAGACTCTTTCTAGTTTACTTTGTTCTGTTGGGACAGATTGCTAATTCCGATGCTCCTTTGGGATAAGGCATCTTTAGCGATTTTCTGCGGAGATTGGGCATCTATCTGGTGGTACATGCTTTTCTATTTGTTCTGATCTTTTATTCTTTTTTGGTTGCCACTGGAGGATTCCTTATTCTTCTTTAGAAAAACTTATTTTCTGTTGAAAGAAAAGGTCCAGTTATTGAGAAGGCAGTTCAGATGTTTTTACTTTGTTTCTTTTTCCTCGAAAGGAGGGAGAGGGAGGGGGGAGGGGGGAGGAGGGGGGAAGAATATTGGGTGCCATTTGATCAACCAATTTCCCTTATCAGAAGACAAGGAAATGAATTCATTCTTTTTTTTTTTTTTAAATAAAGGAAATGAATTCATTCTATTGCCGAGTAATTGTTCTTGTCAACTCAAGGAGGATGACTTGCCCCAAGACCAAGTTGATGTTTTACCTTTTGCAAAAATTGATATTTGTACATCTTTTATGATGGTTAACTCATAAATTTTATCTATTTGTAGGACCTGCTAGTGTTTTACCTGAATAAAATTCTTCCATGATCCCCTGCAGTTATGGATATTGATTCAGTTGGAACCTTTACAATGTGCCATGAAGCACTTAAGTATCTTAAAAAAGGAGGACCTGGGAGGGGCACATGTGGTGGAACAATTTTGAACATAAGTGCAACTTTACATTATACAGCTTCGTGGTATCAAGTACATGTATCTGCTGCCAAGGTTTGCACGAGAGGTTTTTTTGAGTGAAGTTCTACTTTTAAATTAACTTTAAAGTTTTAAGATCTCATTTGTCAACAGGCAGCTGTTGATAGCATTACTAGAAGCTTGGCATTGGAGTGGGGAAGTGACTATGATATCCGAGTCAATGGGATTGCCCCAGGCCCTATTGGTGACACTCCTGGAATGAGCAAATTAGCACCTAAAGAGATTGATGGCAAAGCGAGAGAGTCCATGCCTTTGTATAACCTTGGGGAGAAATGGGATATTGCTATGTCCGCACTATACCTGGTGTCAGATGCTGGTCAGTAACTCATTTTCCTTCTTTTGTCACAAGAATAAAGTCTCAATTTTTGTGAAAACTGAATAGAGGATAATAGAAATGTCAAACCCTTTCTTTATATGTTCCAGTCCTTCCTCTAGTTTTCTTTTTTTTTTCTGAAATAAAAAGTGTGAATAAACAAAGAAACCAGAGGTACCACTCATTTACAAAATATTTACAATGTAGTTAGAGAATCAATAACATTCCCAAAATACACGTCACTAATAATGTCATGTTT